AGTAATGTTCTGGGAAAGTAAAAAATTATATGTGGATTTTTGACTGCATGGGGGTCGGTACCCCTAACCCTTTTTCAAGGGTCAACTGTAATTACAAAGCCTTCTGATTTGTCCCTCTGCTTCTATTGAAACTCTGCAGTCTATTCTCCACACGGGAGTCAGAGCTATTTATTAAGCATGTAAATGAGAAAAAAAAACACTTTATTTTAAATCTCTCTCCTTCCTCAAGCTACTGCCCTATTTCTTGCTTCCATCTTAAAAAAATGCAAAGCTTCCATTAATAAATTGTGCATGTTCACTCTCAGCAATCTAATTTTCTCACATTATCTCTTAAATCCACTTCAAATAGACTTTTGCACCCTCCACTCTAGCCAAATTGCTTCCTTGATAATGTCACAATGACATTTCCATTGATTCTCCAGTGATCAGTACTTAGTCCTTATTTTATGTGACCTAACAATAACATTTGACATTGTTGATCATTTTCTCTACTTGAAAGAATTTACATGGGTTTCTGCACTTCATCTTCCTTTTTCTTCCTGTATCTTTGACTTCTCTTTTCAATTTCCTGTACTGATTCTTCTTCCTCTCATGCACCCCTAAATATTGCAGAGCTCAGTCTTTAGTCCTCTTCCCTGTTCTATCTACATTCACTTCTGTGTGATCTTACCTAGAGTTATTGTTGTATATTTGAAGACTCACAAAATGTATGTGTTCATTCTAGACTATCTCATACAGCCAAATGTGTACTCAACTTCTCCACTGTGGTGTCTAATTGGCAAATCAATGTTAATATATTTTTGCTTGTTTGAGATAGAGAGAGAGAGGGAGGGAAGGAGGGAGAGCGAGCACATGCATGAGCAGGGAAGGGGTGTGAGAGAGAGAGAGAGAGAGAGAGAGAGAGAATCTCAAGCAGGCTCCCACCCTGTGTGGAGCTCCATGCAGAGCTCCATCCCTGGGCCAAAATCAAGAGTCAGACACTTCAACCCACTAAGCCACCCAGGTGCCCCCAATCTTAAATTTTGAAACAACACTAAGCACATTAGCTTTCAATAAAAGTAGAGAGGTTATGAAAGAGTCCAGTGCTGTTGGAGGCAAGACGGCGAAGGAGCTCCGTACATTTCACCTGCACCCATCTCTCAAACAGAGAAGGCCTGAAGTCGTAGGACACTGAGCCACAGGAGTTTGGGAAGAGAAACAGACAGAGTACACTGGGAAGGAAACCTCATAAGTGTGTGAGTGTGAACTGGGGAAGATAAAAGCGGGACGGGACCCAGAGACACGGAGGGAGGGGAGGGAACCCAGCTTGCGTGCAGCTGCGGTGAGTAATAAACCAGCGAGTGGTGACGAGCTGCCGTGAGTCCAGGGGAAAAGAAAGAAAAGCTGAGATTGCTCATAGAACCGTCCCTGGAGAAGAGAAAAACCTCGGCTTGTAAAGATAGTGTTTTTTAGCTCTGGCTGGGGTGCTGGCTTTAAACTAGGTGCCCTGGTCCCAGAAGGCGCCAGGAAAAACTGAACTGCTGTGTGCCTGGCACCATTCATGGCAGCAGCAGCCCGGTGAACCAGCAGCAACACCTGTGGCTGCCGTCCCGGCGCCAGGTAAAGTGAAAGTGGCGCTTGCAATAGCGGCCTGCTGAAGTGGCGGCGGTGGCAGCGACCCGGTGAAGCGGTGCCGGCGCCCGGTAAAGCAGCAGTGGCGCGCGACAGCGGCACGCTGAAGCAGTGGCGGCACGCTGCAGCGAAGCGGACTCTACGGACCTGAAGTTGCTACCTTCCCCAAATGCACTCGGGTTGTATCCCTGCTTGACCCTGGAGGATCTGAGGCTGTGACACTTCCCCCAGCCCCCACTCAACCCCCAGGCAACAGGGAAGCAGCGACCTCCGGGCCTGTTCAGAGCAGTATAACAAAGCCTGCGGACTGGGACAGGAAACAGGCAGGGTGTAGGGCATAGAACTCAGCCCACTTTGGCTACATCCTCAGCACAGAGAGATTGACCGAAGAAGTGGTTTGCAACGGTTGGTTGAGAAGCGACTAGGGCAACGCCATTCTTCTCCCCACAACCACAAAGGAGGGGCTTCAGGGAGGCCAGCAGACACAGTGGAGACAAGACCTGCCTACACCAAACCACACCCATCCCCTCCAGATAGCTGTTTTGTTGTTGTTATAGCTGTTTTTACATGGGCCTGGGTTTTTGCATGTTTATTGGTTTTGTCTGTGCCTTTGTGTACCTGTGTTCCCTCTGTGATTGTCTGTTTTCTTTTTCCAGGGCTGCCTCAAGAAACAAGCCAAACTACACATGGTGGAGAGTCCCAAATACCACTACGAGTAGGGAAACAAAATAACCAAACACTCAACAAGAGAAACTAAGAGACACCATCCAAAGAACCCTTCCTGAACAGACAGGCCCTGAACAGTGAAAAGAGCCCTCTCTAATACAGCAGAACTCGTACGGGCTGTGTGTACAACAAGCTTTTAAAATTAACAAGAGATAGAAAGCTAACCAAAATGACGAAACGGAAGAGCTCTCCTCCAAAGAAACTCCAGGAAGAAATGACAGCTAGAGAACTGCTCAAAACTGATATAAGCAACATAACTGAACAAGAATTTAGAACAATAATCATAAAATTAATCGCCGGACTTGAAAAAAGCATGGAGGACATCAGAGAAACTATGGCTACAAACAATATGGAGCTTAAAAATAGTTATGGTGAATTAAAAAATGGGATAAATGAGATACATAATAAACTGGAGGCATCCAATGCACGAATTGAAGAGGCAGAAAGGAGAATAAGTGATTTAGAAGACACCATTATAGAAAAAGAAGAAACTGAGAGAAAGAGAGATAAACTGATCCAGGAACATGAAAGAAGAGCTCGAGATCTCAGCAATACAATCAAACGGAACAATATCCGTATCATAGGAATCCCAGAAGAGGAAGAGAGAGGGAAAGGTGCTGAAGGAGTCCTGGAACAAATTATAGCAGAGAACTTCCCCAACCTGGAAAGGGAAGTAGAAGTTGAAATTCAAGAGGCACAGAGAACTCCCCTCAGACGTAACTTGAATCGATCATCTGCACAACATATCATAGTGAAACTGGCAAAATATAAGGACAAAGAGAGAATTTTGAAAGAGGGAGAAAAGAGCCCTAACATACAAAGGGAAACCTATCAGAGTGGTGACAGACCTATCTACTGAAACTTGGCAGGCCAGAAAGGAATGGCAGGAGATCTTCAATGTGATGAACAGAAAAACTCTGCAGCCAAGAATCCTCTATCCAGCAAGCTTGTCATTCAGAATAGAAGGAGAGATAAAAGTCTTTCCAAATAAACAAAAATTGAAAGAATTTGTCACCAGTAAACCAGCCCTACAAGAAATCCTGAGGGGGACTCTCTGAGGAAATTGTTGTAGGGAACACAAGATACTAGAGACACCACCACAAGCATGAATCCCACAAAGGACACAATGACTCTAAACCCACATATTTCAATAATAACACAGAATGTAAATGGGCTGAATGCTCCAATCAAAAGACATAGGGTAGCAGAATGGATAAAAAAACAAAATCCATCTATTTCCTGTCTACAAGAAACCCATTTTAGACTGGAAGATACCTTCAGATTAAAAGTAACAGGATGGAGAAATATATATCATGCTACAGGAAATAAAAAGAAAGCTGGAGTAGCTATACTTATATCAAAAGTAGAGAGGTTGTGAAAAAAAAAACATGCAAACCTTCAAATTTTACAATGAATTTAAAATATCAGAACAATGTGCTACATCAAATAAGTTTAAAAAATGTGTTTCTCAGTCATATTGAGCTCAGTAGGTCATTTCCTGTTTTAAAATTTTGCAAGCAATAAGCAGTAAAAAACAACAGCATGGTGAATGGCATTGCTGGGTGTGATCTATGGTCACAAATAAAGATTCTAATAAGTTGGAATTTTATGGGCATTTAGAAAGAATACTGTTTTATAGTCAAAATTTATGCCTCTTCCTTATGTAATAAAATTTGTAGATAAAGGTAAGCTTTTTTTTTTTTTTAATTTAAGCAGAAACTTCTGTGCACATAACAATTGTTACCAAGGTAACCTTCTCTGATGCCATTAGGATTCCTCAGGAAAGACACCTGCATATTCTTCATTCATGTCACTTAAGTTTTTCTTGCCTTTTGATCTCTTATCCAATAGAAATACTTCCATTTTTAAAATCAGTTTTACTTTCCAGTCTTATTTTTATTTTTCTAGTGTATTTTATGCCTGAGAGAATAGAATGTAATATTATGTACACTTAATTAGTTTCCCTCAGGATAGGAACCCAAGAGATTCCAGTGGTATAAAAGTCAGACATTAATAAATTCAAATTTGAGATTTCAATACATTTTTGCATGATTACATAATTAATATTGGTAATAAAAATAATATAGTATTTTGTATTTCATAAGTTTCTTAGAAAAAGTTTAGAAGGCTAATATGTTTTCCTTTCCTTAGTTCCTTGACTGTTCTCTTTGTATTTGGATAACATTTGTGTTGTGGAATGATTGATATTAAAACAGCTAACTCCAAAACATGTATTTCTGCTAGAAGTTTAAATTCATACAGCTCCTTGATTCATGGCATATAAGTATATTTAAAAGGGCTAAGATTATTATATTTTCAGAAGACCTTTGTGTAATTGATATGACAGTATTATTTCTCTTAGTTTATTCATATGCTAATACTTCTCTGTATTGTAAAATGAGAAACATAATTCAAATACACCTCAATTCAAAATAGTATAAAAGTATAAAAAGTCTTCAAATATTATTCATATATTTCTTACTTCTTAGCAAATGATACACTAAAAAGCACAACTTTTGTTTTTACTAATTTCTCTTACTAAAGTCTTACTTACTGTGCTTATGCACATGTCAGGTTATTTGAGGTTTTGGAGAATAAATATAAGATTGACAATTTTTTACAAATAGCCATATGTTGATACAGACAGGACAGATATAGTTTACCTGTATAACCAGGAGAACAGAGGCAGTTGTATCCACCAGTTCTGCTAACACAATCTTCTCCATCTAGACAAGGTGAGATTTCACATTCATTCATATCCAATTCACAGAGAGATCCATGGTAACCTGGTTCACAGATGCACACAAATCTAGAGAAAAGTAAGAAAATGAGAAATTGTATGTAATAAGAAAAAGTATTTCATTATGTATCTAATTTTTACGTACATTTTACATTTTAGCCTTTAATTTAAATAAGTGACAATATTTTCTATTCACTTTTTTTTCCCTTTGGAGAAAATACAAATTACCTTTGTTGGTTCACAACCTGGAAAGTTTCCCAAGTGAAATTTGAAGCTGTTTCCCACAGATTGAAGGGAAGGAGAGCCAGAAGAAAGAGACAAACCACTTCAAATGGGTGGGTGACAGGTTTAAAATGGAAGGGAACAAACATTCCAGGCTTGTCTTGGGCACTCACAAGACAAGGAGATCTTCACACACACTCCTCAAATATTAAGTTTATAAAAAGCTATTAATGAGGTTGTCATGTATAAAATCCAAATGGTCTCAATAACGCTTTACTCTCTCAAAACTTTGTCACTGAAGTTACTCTTAATTGGGAATAGTGGGCAGAACATACATTCCAAGGACAAGGGGAAGAAGTGAAGTGCCTCCTAATTGCAGGGATCCAGTTTAAAGGTCAACACGAGATCATATCCTCTCGATGACTTCCTTCAACAAACTTCTAGATATTCTTCCCCTTAAATGTTCTTTATGTGAGGATTTTTTTTTAAAAACATGAATGCATTTTTTTAAAATTAATTATATTAAATAATTAATATAAATATATAAATAATATAACTCTGATAAATACTATTAAGCTTAATTCTGTACTGTATTCATTTTATTATTATATAAATATAAAAATTTATATCCTATGTTAACAACTGGGAATTATTCTGCCCATTATTGAATGATATTTTTGATACAGAAGCTCTTCTGGTTAAATTTTTAAAAATCATTTTAACAAAAACAATCTCATTACTGCTTAATTATATTGACAGATGTTGAAGAAACTGTATATAATTTGATGATTAGATGTCAGGTTCAAAGTATCATGAACTTAATAGAGGGAGTTTCTCTTAAAGGCCTTGCCATTGAGAATGGTTATAAGTATGTGTGGCAGAGTCACCCTGAATTTATTTTTAGTCTATTTCTGGACATTTTGCTAAATGTATTTTTATTTCAACATCCAGTCAATCTGTATCTATCTGCCGGAAGATAGAAGAATAATTCTCCTGATATGGAACTGTCACTAGTTTTAGACACATGATAAACCAAAAAAAAAAAAAAAAATGTTAAGAAGAGAAAGCAATAGGGGCGCCTGGGTGGCTTAGTCGGTTAAGCATCCGACTTTCGCTCAGGTCATGATCTCGCGGTTTGTGGGTTCGAGCCCCGCGTCGGGGTCTGTGCTGACTGCCAGCTCGGAGCCTGGAGCCTGTTTCAGTCTGTGACTCCCTCTCTCTCTGACCCTCCCCTGCTCACGCTGTCTCTCTCTCTCTCTCTCTCTCTCCTAGAAATAAATAAAACATTAAAAAAAATTTTAAAAATAAAAAAGAAGAGAAAGTAATAATTTAATCTTTAACTTGTATATTCATAGAAAAAAATTCATGAGAACAACACTAATTTCCACATATAAAATTAAATTGAGAGGAAAACAATTTAGAAAAAAAGAAAAGGCTCTATATAGTTTTTCTTTTTCTTTTTCCTTTCACAGAAGGCTAGATAAAAGTGCTTTCCCAAGTTTTCTTGCAATGTTTTCGAAACAGATTTTTATTCTGATTTTTCAAGGGAATTCTTCCTAATTAACTTCAGTTTCAACATAATTGTAATTACAAAAACATAATCACCAGAAATCTAACTCACCTATGCTCCTATTTTGTTCATTCATCATATATTAATTGATTGAGTGCCAGACATTAGTCATGTACCAGATCCAAGTGCTTGGTTAACGATTGAACTTATTTTTTAAGTTCTCATAGAGAAGCTTGGAGCATTGATATGTAAACATTACAATAAATATATGCCAATAGAGAAAGGTATGAAGTCTGTAAAAACAGAGCTAACTGCTAGAGAAGGTGACAGGAAAAGTTTTACTAGTTAGTCAATAAAGAAAGAGTGGAGTTTTTGTACTAGTTGGACAGAAGGCATTAAAATTCCATGTGCAATGTCATGCTGGTGTAAAAGAGATTTATATTTTTCAAGAGCACTCCATGTAACTAGGATTTTGATCAAAATCACTTTTTAGAGTGATCCAATTACTATGACTCTTGAATTTGTGTTCAAATAGCAAAGATTTTCTTCATCTCCATTTTCTCACTAGAATCCTCCAATATAGTTAAGAAAATGTAATGAATCTTTTAAATGCCTTACTAAAATCAACAGATATTCATTAATTATACTCTCATTGATTGCTGTCGTTTGTTCCCAGTGAATCAATGATGATTCTGAGGGATCACAGAGTAGGTAGGTGTTCAACAGTTATAGCAGTAAAAGGTACATCCAGAAAATAATTTTTCACACTGATAGACCCGAAAATATTTTATTAGTATAAAATATATCACAAAATGAGTTTGAGCTCAATTTATACATCTGTTGCAAGTACTTTAGATAGTTCTATCATTCTTCCAGAAATTACTAAATCTATTCTTTACTCTGGAAAAATGAATATTAGAAATTATTTGGGGACATCTTTCCTGTTAATGATGGATTTATAATAATGATCATTGATTTTCTCAATCTGTTATAATCATTTATTCATTAAATTTACAGAATTGTCTTACTCTGTGTGTATGTGTATGGATCTCTCTTTTTCCTCTTTCTTTTTGAAAACCTGGAAATATCCATCTCTTGCCTTTTGCCACCCAAATTTTGTTTTCTGTGATTACAAAAAGGTTCATGAATGGCTTCATAATCATGATCATGTACCCTAGAATCTGGAGATTTCAACCAACTTAAAATGGGAGATATTCTCCATTGATGCTTCTAAACTGAATCAGTCATTTCTATACTCTTTGCCAAACAGTGCTTTTTAAAAAAAAAAAAAAAAGTATTTACTTTTAAGAGAGAATGTGAGCAGGGGAGGGGAATAGAGAGAGGGGGACAGAGGATCCAAAACAGGGCCTGGGCTGACAGCAGGGATGTAGGGCTTGAATTCATGAACCAAAAGATACTGAACAGAACAAAAGTTGTAAGCTTAACTGATTGAGCCACAGGGGTGCCCCCAAATAGTGCTTTTGTAACTCCTCATTTGATTCACATTTACTAAATGATATTGACTATTAAGATGGGCTTTTCCTTTTCATTCATTCATTCATTCATTCATTCATTCATTCATTCATCTATCCATCCGTCCATCCCTCTCTCTATCTACTCATTCAACTTACCAACTTGTATCTGAATGGAATCATGACTTTTTATTTTATTCAGTGGGTTAAATATATAACTATTTTTATTTATTTGATGCTCAATTCATCTGAGATTTAGATAGTGAGGACCTCTTTAAGTTTTCTCCTATATCCTTTTGACATCTTCATCATTTTTTGAACACTCTCTTACTTTCTGGCATAAGATATTCCAGGTTAACCTTATACATTTCCTTTTCTAGATCTGGAATCAGCCATTTCTTCTAAGAGTCTTGGATCCTTTAAATGAAGAATGTTATTTAGAAAGCAAGATTATTTTTATGTGTATGTATATTTATGTATATGTATACATTTAATTCTGTGTATATAACTATATGTCTGTATATGTATATGGCACATATATGTCTCTATATGTAGTTTTCTGTGTGTATGTATATATGTATTATAAACACATATATATTAAAATATAAATTCACACTAATTTCCCAATTCTGATTTAACTTAATTGGGTTCATTTTAGTCTAGCTGATTTCTGTATTTACAGTTCTTTTTCTAACAATAAAAAACCTTGCTTTTATTGTTTTAAACATGTTTACTTCCTCAATTAGTTAACGTGAAATATTTTTCATATTCTTTGTCTTCTTGTTGGTGAAGACATGAGATTCTTTTTAATTTTATTCTTTTGTTTGTATCATTTTGAGGATGTATGAGAAGATTCAGATTTTATCAACTACCCAGCATTCTCTTTTCCTCATTATTCGAATTTAGTCACTTTCTGAGTTTTAACTTCCTGGATTTTTTACAGATTTTACTAAAAGTTATTCATTTGTTATATAATAGTAGGGCAAATTCTCATGAAAGTCAAATCTTTATTCCAGAACAGATCATCTACCTTGGATCTCTGTGCCTACCTATTCTTTACCAGAAGAATTAAAATGTATATACGTATTCTCTCTCCCTTTCTTACCCCCACCTCCTTCCATCTCTTCCCTGTTCTTGCCCCCCACACCTCCTATCTGTCTCAAATAGGAGAGAGAGGCAAAGTGCAGAACATTGCCAACTTACTCTCTATGCACCTACCTTGGCCCTTAAAATGAAAGTGCATACAGAGTGTCTGAAAGGCATGTGACCAGATCCCTCCTCCAACAGGCCTCCAGCTAAAATATACAATCACTTCAGTTTTGGTGTATATTTCCTTCCATTATTACTTGTTGAGACCCCCATACCTACATTATTCAGACCACATCTACCTAGGCTAAGGGGAAAAAAATAAAAGTGCACCTTGACTTTTATTAATGTCTTAAGTGACCCAGTTAATTTTGTGGTAATATTGAATTATGTATTAAAATTCTCTAAAACATTTTCTTCTTTTGATGAAACCCTATTCTAACAACTTTTAAAACACAAATATGCATATACTAAAAATAGCCTGTCCTGAAGCAACAATTAAGACCATGAAATATGTAATATAATTTTGATAACATGGAAATTTGTAATATAAAGTCAAGACTTTACTTCATAAGTTTAAGTTTTAGTGGAATTAAACTTAAATAGGTTGTCAAGGTATGGAACAATTTTCGTTCAAATTTCCTTTAATTTGATAGTGACCTAAAATTTTCCTGATAGGTTTTCAACATACTTTTTCAAAACTAAAATGGATTTTAACAGGTGACTTCTAAAGAAAATTCAATACATTGAGAGAAGGAAGAGATAAAGAGTAATTTTAT